GCCAACCTGCCTGGCTGTAGAAAATGAGGTTATGTGTGTTTTCATATTTCCAGGGTTTTTCTGAAGCTGTAACAACTAAAATTCATAATTTTGAAGTTATATTCAGAGCATAATTCTTATGCAAGATCTGAGTTTTGTGGCAAAACTTGGAGCCATGGCACACAGAAACACTGGAAGCTCTCTCTGTTCTTCTAATGTTTTAAGTATTTTAAAGTACTATTTCTTAAAAAGCTGTATTGGCTAGGGTTGGAATACAGCCTTCAGGCAAACAATCAGAAAATGAAGCCCAGAGGCTGCTACTCCTTTTTTTTTGCTCCAAAGCCTTTAGTTTAAGATTTTGCTTATTAAAACAACTTCCAAAGTCTAATAGTGTATGCAATATTGCTTTGCTAAATAAAATTTTATTTAGAAGATCCTTTATCTCTAAAGAAGGAGGTCAGTTTACTGTTGCAGGGACATTACTCTCATTGGCTAAAGTGACAAATCCTTGCATGTTCTCAGAAGAATCATTATAATGCTGGAATTGTAGCGATTAAGACATTCTACAAAGGATCAACTGGATAAACATCAAATTCTGCTTTCTTAGGTTTCAACAATGTATGTTACAGGTAGTTGCTTACTTTGTCTTTGATTTCAAAAATAGAAGGAAGATTAAAGAAGATACCGTTTGAAACTGAGAGAACAATGTAGCACGTATTTTGACATACTGTTGAAATTGGATCACAATAAAATGGTTTAAAAGTATTTTCGGATGAATGAACCTAGTGCTTAGGGCAAATAAGCAACATTTAAAGATATGTAAAAAGAAATTCCATACATAAATATGTTATTGTATTCAGAAGTGTTTGTGATAAAATTTATAAATTTAGATCTTCTGAAAAGAACAGCACTTCTGCAAAGTTAGCAAAATGGCTAGAAATGTAATGGCCAATTGCCAAATGACATGTACTACAATAAGATAATTCTAAAGTTAAAAATTAATGTTTATTTAAATCAGAACTTGTGTTACAGAAAATTCATGTAACCATTGTATATTTACTCTTTCATCAGTGAAAATCCATTGTAATTGATGTATGTACTGGGTGGGTAGTTGAATTTTTCTTCAGGTGATTTGTTTTTATAACCAGTTCATACTTTATTTGAATCTTTAGTTACTGAATGAAAGGTATTTAGTAAGGATCCTACAATCAAATCATTCATTTTAATTCCTGTAGCTTTAAGGCAATACAGCATAAACACTGTTTTGATGCAGTGTTCTTGAATTCTTTGAAGAGAGCAATACTCTAGCTCCATGCTGGACAAATGACAATGGATTTCCTCTTGCTCTTTTTTTATTTTGTAGTGTTAACGTTATTTAAAAAACAAAAGGTTCAGTTGCATTTAGGTCAGTTATTAAAATATTGTTGGTCATTTCCTTTGACAGAACATTTCTATTGTGTTATACCAATGTCATTAGGAGGAAAGGTTATTCCCACTTGTCTAGCTGATATCAATACATACTGGCATATTACATCCTCTGGCTTTCTGGAAATGCTTTATTTGAGCAGTAGCTTGGGAACAGGAAATTTAAGGTTATACACGGTCTGGTTTCAGACTGCATGATACAAAATGTGTTTCCTAGAAGACGCTGTCTACCTGACAAGTTTTCTCTAGTATTTTCTAGCATCGGATAAGCTTAAATGGGTTCGAGTTGGGAATAAATTTTTACCAGCTGTAGATGGCAGACAAGGTAGAACAAGGCTTTCAGTCACTCTGTATGTGACTGAGTATGTATTTGAGGAACTTATATGAACCACATGAGTATCGCACCCATTCACCAATTACTGTGGAATGTAGTTTACCTTTTAAGATATGGAAATAATAATATTCCCATTTTATAGGTGTTCTTACTGTCTAGGAGGAAAAAAAACAGAATACATTTACTTCAAGCCATGGTCAAGTGTGAAGTCTGTGACACTGTGGTAGCTTCTAAAGGCAGAGGTTCAAGCATAGCATCTTAGCCATGCTGAGCAGCCCTTTCTACCAGAATCATAGTGAGCAGGAGGAGTACAGTTGTTTAATCATGTAACTGTTCATTGAACTGTTCATTCATCCATGTAAAACAAAGCAAATTGTGATCAGCAATTATGTCCTGTTGTTTCTTAAGCTGAGCCTGTCAGTCTTCGGTGAATCTGTAAATTATGTAGACATTAGGTCTTTTTCAGATCTCTACTCTAGAGGTAAGTGTTCTCCTAAGTCTTCCATCCACACTCTAAGATTATAAGTTTTTCTTTTTTTATCAAAGCAAGAACAACATCTGTGTTTCTGAAGAATGAGAGCACCACCTTCCAAAACTCTGTTTCCCCCCACCATTTTCGTGTGACAGGAATGTATGTTTTTCATCCTAATCACAGGAATGAGTGATGCGTAGACAGTTAATGCAGCACTGCCAGCCATAGTCATTCAAAAATCATGAATCATGTTGCTGAAAGTCATGACGGTCTAAAAACTGTGTTTATGAGATAGAAAAAAGATTGTATTTCTAAATTGTATTTCTTTTATTTTTGTCTCTTTTTTTCTGTATGTATGTAGTGCATACACAGATTTCTTTGCCTCTCTGGTAGCTATTAACTTAAATGAGAAGGGGTGGAAGGGATGGGTAGAACGTAGCTGAGATTCTCTTAAAATTGATCCCCTCCAGGGCTGGGGACTTCAGGAAAAACAACATGTGGTAAGATATGAGATAAAATTGCCTTAGTAAATATTATTGATTTTTTTTTTTTAATCAAAAAAAAGCAAGATTTTCAAGGAAGCAATACATATTTCATGTCGCTTTCACTGACAAATTAGATTTGTATGTTTTAAATGATGGTGCTGAAAATGAGAAATTCATTTTGATAACATCTTAATATATATGACTTCAGAGGGAAACAAATACGAAGTTGTGGAAAGAGAAATGCCTCAAGTATTAAGCCATCATCTACATATATTGAAGTCTGTATAAAACCACTCCAAAGGGATATATCATGAACTACAGTCATCAGAGTAAATAAAAATTATAAGCCTTTTTAACGGAAATAGCCACGTAGTTAGAGATCAGGCTACCAGTAGATTTCATTATAGAGCTGAAGGTACGGTGCCTGATGAATAACTGATTAAGCTTTCTGTCTGCCTTTCCAGAGTATCAGAAGGTAAAATTTGTACACAACTCGTTAATTTCTTTTCAGGTCAGAACCATGGAGTCTCACCTTGATAAGGTCCTGTTTCAGTTTGAGCTTCTTGTAAACCTCTTCATAGAATCAAAAAATAGCTGAGGTTGGAAAGAGCCTTTAAAGATCATCTAGTCCAGCCCCCCTGCCTGGGCAGGGTCAGATAGAGCAGGCTGTCCAGGACCTTGTCCAGTCGGGTTTTGAGTATCTCCAAGGACGGAGACTTGACAACCTCTCTGTGCAACCTGCTTACTTGTATTTATAAGTTTTGGTATTACACAAAATATGAATAACTTGTATATTTTAGAGAACACGGGTTTTATCCAGCTTCATTCATTTACTTAACCTAGGTTAAGAAACACAGTTTTTTATGTGTTTGAATACAAGGTGGTCTTAAGATAGCTACTTCAAAGTACAGAAATATTTTCTGTCCTTTCATTGTAGAAAATGCTGCATACCAAAGCAGTTTTTCCAGTGAAAAGGTAAAAAGGGGCTAATGCTTTTTTATCCTTGCCGAAGAATGTAAATTATGCATATATTTTGTTTATGAAATGTCTGCAACTTCCAGGACAAAAGTAACCACGCTATCTGTAACTACTTTGAGTTCAGATACCAGTAAGTAATTTTATTTGAAGCTGCTGTATTATATCTTCACTTAGTTGTAAAATGCAGATATCTTTGCCAGTTCTAAGGATCTTAATGTTAACTGCACAATCCATGCAATTTAAAATCCTGATGCAGCTAGTTTGTTGTCATGTATCTATGTGATATACAGAAATACAGGCTAATGTTGCTTATACTCAAAGCTGACCAAAAGCAGCGTGACTATGTAAACATGCCCTGAGCTTGTGTCAAGAAGACCTGTTGAGGACCAAAGTACAAAGCATAGGAGGACATAAGTACTTTTGCATCGAATCTGTCTCAGGTCCTATCAGCATGGAGTACAGGGTGAGTCCTCATCTGCCCTTAACATAGATCAACCAGATGTAGGTGTGCAACATTGATCATGTTAGGTATGGTTTGTAACACAGAAAACCTTCCTGAATAACTTACTGTGCATGGAAGACTGGTCTAAGCCAATGTTAGAGTAGTTAAACTGAGAGGTAACATTGCTACTGTGCTACTGACACAGTTATCTCCATTGTATTAACATTTTTATTTCTGTTAACTGTGTTTCTTGATATACAGTCAACTTGTAATAAAAACTTCTGCCAGGCACATTGAAGAGACTTGTGTATGGATGGCATTTGTGTTAAGGGGATGAGTCAAGGTAACTCTAGTGAAGAGACAGTCAAGGTGAAGTAAAGCACGAGGTTGAGGCAATGCAAGAGAACCCATTTGCTCTGTCACTGTCAATATTATATCCGCTATGTGAATAATGGAGCAGGTAGTTTCCGTGGTTGGTGTTAATTTGGCATATTCACTTGGCTAACTGCTTTTTAAGTGCAGGGTTGTACTTACCTGATTCCTGTATGTTTCATATCAGTTTTAATTTTTTGAATTCAAACTTTTCAAGTTCTTAGATGCAACAGTATAATTTTAGGGAAGAATAGAATGGTAATTTGGGCCTATCTATGCCTGGTAGTAGCACTGTTATCAGTTTTCTGGTAGGCCCATATATGGACTCTTATTTGACATTAAGGCTTGCTTTTGCTGTTTGACCTGGTTTTCTTCCAAAGCATGATACAACCTTTGCATTTGTCATAAAGCTTCCATATGCGTATGTGCCTCTGGTATCAGTATGGAAGGGGGAGTGCTTGTCTTTCTATTGCTGTAAACAATTTTGGTCTCTGTTCTTTTCTAATTCAACAGAATTTATCTTCTTGGAATCCTTCAAACCCTGAATGCCTCCTGCTTGTTGTGAAAGAGCTTGTGCAGCAGTATCACCAGTTTCAGTGCAGCCGATTACGTGAGAGCTCTCGTCTCATGTTTGAATATCAAACTTTACTTGAAGAGCCCCAGTATGGAGAAAACATGGAAATCTATGCTGGCAAAAAAAACAACTGGGTAAGCTCTTATAAGCTATTTCTGCTAAAATGCTTTTCGTGATCCTTTCATTTTAATAAATACAGCTCTTGCCTCGGAAAACTTGACTTGTTTCTGTGGATCTCCATGCTTTATGTTTCCAATGGAGAAAACTCCTATTTGACTCCAGCTCACTTTCTATACTCCCTGTTTTGTACTTTGCTTTCATTCCACTACCTTGGTTGAACCAGATTTCCAGGTGAGTAACTGTTTTTCAACCTGATGTTAGTTCATCTGATTTATAGATGAAAACTTTGAAAACTGTTGAAAAGCTTGTGCAGTATTTACAGGCACAGTACAATGTTATGTGGAGGTTTGAGTTAGCTCTGAAGATTTGAGAGGCAGAATAACAGTATTGGTATGACACCCTGCACAGGCAAATCAGCCTGCTTAGGGGTAGGATGTATTAGGGTGTGGTTCCACATTACGATTGAGTTGATTTAATTGGTAGCTGCAGCTGCCTATATATCTCTGGCACTTGTCTAAGCTGAGATGAGTTGTTTCAGGAACCTAAACTGGAGAGGAAAAAAAACCCATCTAATTTTCTGCAGAAGGACAGGAGGTGAGATGGGCTAGAGCAGTGACTTTGTAGGGCTGTGTCTTCATACAGCAGTCAGACATTAAACTGGCTTATCTGTTTCCTGAAGTTGTATCCTTTGCCTGGGAAATGTGCCATGCTGTGTAGAAACACACTCTGTATACCATCTCAGCTTTCTAAAATGAGACTATTGGCAATGTAGGCATTTTGGTTAGTGTGTGATTTGATTTTTTTTTTTTTTTTTTAAAACTGATCTCTGCCACAGAGTAAGCTTTGCAAAAATCTGGTTTTTCTGCTGGTAATGTATTTATCATGGGAAGTTTTGGAGTAAGATGTATCAGGAAATACTTAATTTATGCTGAACGTGTTCCCCTCTTGCTTTCAGCAATAGCATACTCTTAAGATGTACTGGTCTTCAGAAGCAGTGCTTTCTGAAATAGATGCAGTCTGAAAATCAATGAAAATTCAGCATTCCTGTTATCAGGGCCTAGAATTGAGCTTTATGTCACTTTAATCATCCTTAAATTACAGGTGATGCAAGGATGTTTACTCTACAACTCACAGTAATTATATTCATCTGTTTTTCTTTTCTTAGACAAGTCATCTAGGCTTTTTTATTTTAAGCGAAATGAAATTTTCTTTATCAGAGAATTTCAGATCTCTTTTTTATGTTTATAGATCAGAATATTTCATTGAAATTAATTTGTTCTTAAATGTTACTCTTTGTAGCTCGCATCACGAACAACTTGCCACATCTGTAAATATCATCAGACTGGTTTATTGAAATGCAGAAGGCTTTTTGAACCATACTGAGATTTTATCATAATTTTTGGCAGCTGCCAAAATTCTACTCAAGAGTGTAGAAAACTATGGGTTTTTTCCTTTTTTTTATAGGAAAACCGTATCTACTCAAGCCTTTTGAATCTTCCCTCAGTCTTTGGTGACTGAATAAAGAACTTTTTTTTGCATTTGAAATGCTCTCTTAGTTAAAAATATTCCAATAAAATAAATATTAAATACATCTTGCGGCAAATCCTTTTAATCATTGCAGAGCTATTTGAGGATTTTGTAGCATGTGCTTTGTTTTCAAAGTTTACATTCTCTATCAAGAAGACTCGAGAGTTTTGTTTGGAGATTCTATGAACCTGGTATCTACATGACAGAGGCTTGTTTATGAGTGTCCTAAAACTCAAAACTATGAAATTAACTTGTGTATTTCTCTTCGCTGTCCTTTACAACTGTCTTGTTAGTCTTGATGATCAGCGCAATAGGAGCATTTATATGAAAAGCAAGAGATAAACTGCATGTTATCATCTCCTCTGCCTAGAAGTCATTGAAATTCATGTTCTTGCTGTTTCTCAGGAATCAATAGTAGCTCAGCAGACTTCTGAAATAATCATCTATGAATGAACCTTGCACAGTGTTATGAAAGCAATCATCTTAAGTGCATGAGTTAAAAAAGTTTGAAGAGGAGGCCTGAATTCAGTGCTCTGTCTCAAAATAGAACAGAAATTTGCTTTTATACCTTTGTTCCAGTACCTCCAATTTCCTGAAGTGATCTCCAAGATGTATGACAAATAGATAAACCGTTATCTAGCTTAGTAGCTTCATGTTGGCAGAGTACCAGCTAATACAGATGCCCGTTAATTATCTAATCCCTCAGTGCTGTGGCTAGAAATTTATCTGACTTGACCTGATGCCTGTGACCAGCTGGTTGGGGTTGGGTAGGCGAGCACCATGGACAGGGACTCCTCCATGCCTGTCCAGAACACTTTTGGAAGTAATACATTGCAAAATAATCTTGATTTAATGACCTAAAGGTCTAGACTGCAAATCCTTATTTACTTCCACATCTTGGAGCAGCTGATGTTTTGATCAGAGGCCATTCATCTGTTCAGTGGCCATCCCAGTTCATCAGACTTGGTATTTTACCAGAAATAATTTTCTGGGTTTCATGGCAAATGTCGTATGGCATGTTTTTGGAAGTTAAGTCCGGACAAGAAGCACTGTCTATAATATCCATTTCAGTCTGAATAAAAAGCGAGTGCCCTGACTGTCGTCAAAGCAGTCCTCGTGTTATACATGCAAAAGAAGTCAGTGATTTTTCTGCATACGTAAGTAATACAGCATCAGAAAGTTGGCATCTATCCTTATGAGTAGTGTCATCAGGAGAGGTTTCAGAGCCTGGCTTTAATGTAATATATGCTCACTTTTTGTTGCATAGTGTTTCTAAGCGCAACTGCTTTGCCTCTATTGTGTGACTACCAGGGACAAATTTTAAGGGCAATTCTGAGCTAGCTGGCAGCAGGGTGGATTACAACCTAACATCACACAAACCCTTTTGGCAAATGATGTGACTGGCAAGGTACCATTGGAAAGATTTTGGTTGCATTCAAGATCTTGTTTTTTCTTATTTAGTGACTGGAAGGTAGAATGAGTTGCTCTAGTTCATGCCCGATACATAAACCAAGAAACAAATTGGCACTGATGTTAGCATCGCTTATTGTACATCTGCCTAATACAGCACCTTTGTCTATATGTGCTTAGTTGCTTGGGATGAAATCTTCGCTTACTTTAGGCATAAAATTAATGGAAGGAATCCAGTTCTATAGAATATTTTTCCTTCTCAATTATATTTCATGTCAGTACCACAGCAAAACGTGCTTAGCAAACAGTGATTTATATTCCTCAGCTGCCCTGCTTAGCAGTTTACCATTCATTTTGGAAAGCCAGTTTCCATTGACTTTGACCTCCAGTACATTCTCAGAGAGGCTTGTGCATCTGCAAGCTTGTTTCTGTCAATATTTTTTTCAGCCAGTTCCTTTCTGAATCAATATGCACAGCAATCAGTGTGGTCCATCACTATGGAGGCTTGTGGTGTATGGCCAGTGACAACCTTCATGTTTTCTCTTATGCTGAGCTCAAAGCAATTTATGGATTAGCACAGCTAATTGAGAGGGGAGGCAAACATACTGACTATTTTGCAAAGGCATATGGCAAATTTTCAGAACAGGTGTTAAAAGGCTTTGAATGCATTCCTCTTGGAGAGTTGTCATAGCTGTCTGGACATGGTCCCAAGCAACCTGTTTGGTGTCAAGATCCTCTACATCTCTTAGAATCATAGAATCATAGAATCATAAAGGTTGGAAAAGACCTCTAAGATCATCGAGTCCAACCGTTAATCCAACACCACCATGCCCACTAAACCATGTCCCTAAGCGCCTCATCTACACATCTTTTAAATACTTCCAGGGATGGTGACTCCACCACTTCCCTGGGCAGCCTGTTCCAAGGCCTGACCACTCTTTCAGGAAAGAAGTTTTTCCTAATGTCCAGTCTACACCTCCCTTGGCGCAACTTGAGGCCATTTCCTCTCGTCCTATCGCTAGTTACTTGGCAGAAGAGACCAACCCCCACCTCGCTACAACCTCCTTTCAGGTAGTTGTAGAGCGCGATGAGGTCTCCTCTCAGCCTCCTCTTCTCCAGGCTAAACAGCCCCAGTTCCCTCAGCCGCTCCTCATCAGACTTGTTCTCTAGACCCTTCACCAGCTTCGTTGCCCTTCTCTGGACACGCTCCAGCACCTCAATGTCCTTCTTGTAGTGAGGGGCCCAAAACTGAACACAGTATAATGGGTCACTGCTGCATTTTACAGAAAGGATGCTTCCATTATTTCAGATATATTACAGGCTTTTGCTTACCACAAGGTATAGCTGTATACACAATAAAGATGATCCTGTTTAAATCTACTGTAGTATTTACATTCACCCTTTTAATGAGAATTGCAATATACACATTCACCATAGATGGATGTGCACTTTGTTAAAATTTGTGTATTGTATATTTCCTGTTTAAAGTATTTTTCTTCTCTCTTTGACTGGCTATGCAAAACGTTTAAAATAGTAAAATGAAAATAAGGCACAGATAACCATGTTCAGGGAATAGTGAAGTTGTACCTATGTCTTACTGTGGGAGAACGAATGCTGCATATTCACACAGCTTTGATTTGTCCCCTTGCCTGTTAAAATGACGTACTGTTTTTTAAAAATCGTATGTCATCACATAACTAAGTAGCGTATGTATACAAAGATAGGGCAGTGTTAAAACTGAAAAAGTTTTGCTACCTTGTCTCAAGATGTCCTGATTTTTTGTACTTAACTGATAAAATTAATGCTTTTTGTACTGCTAATTCAACATTACAAATACACCTACTGTATGGCTATTTTATTGAATTAAAAAATAGGGATGGCAAAAAATTAATATGGAAGAAATCAGGCAAGCATTTGTTTTTCAAAAAAGAGCCAACTTCATTGCTTCATAACCAGGTGGACAAAGTCTGGTTTTGAGGAAGTGTATGAAACAGAAAGGAAATCCTTTCCATTTCCTTTGCATACACTTTACGTGTAAAAAAGAGCAATGTGTAAGGGACGCTTGGCAAATTTTCAGTAAATAGGTGTTGAGAGTTGCATAATTCTGAAAACAAATTATATAAAACCTTCTACTTCGGTTCTTTCCTCTATGTTTATTCAGAGGACACTTGATACATTCTCACCTTTCTCAACGCAAATTCTCTTATGTATACCTGCAACGTTTGTGAAGATGCCTCTATTTTATCTATACTCTCTTATAAATTTGTCAGGTTTTTAGCTTTGCTTTCAGACCATTTGCAGGTCTTGCCAGACCTTTGTCCGGAAATGAGTACAGCCAAGATACATCTATATTTAGGGCTTAACAAAGTGTAGTCTGATTTTTGTTGTGCACGTTATTGTATTCTGACTACTTTTTGCTGTTGACTTACTGGCAATGGTGTTTTATGGTTTTTAAGATGTTCTCTCATATAGTGTCTGTGAAATTTGTAAATTATTTTTTTCCTCTTCAGTAATTCCGTTGAGAAATGTTGTTTTAAATCTCAACCCTTCTCTTTAGTATGAGCTCTTACACATTTTTCTGGTTAATATTTCACACTTGGAACGTTTAATTTGTGGTTCTGTTTTAGACACCGGGTCTCATTAGTGTTACCTTTTTTCCACAGACTGGAGAATTCTCAGCTCGCTTCCTCTTGAAGTTGCCTGTAGATTTCAGCAATATTCCTACATACCTTCTCAAGGTAAAATGAATGTCTAAGTTGACAGCATTTGTGAGAGAGTATGAATTATTGAAATGTTCTTAGTAGCTATTTTGACTTTCCTGCCCTCCTCCTCTCCAAGAGTTTGAAAGTCCACCATTTCTAAACCTGATTGTATTATGTTTTGGAAAGATGATGTTAGGCATGCTGTTGTTTTGCGTGCCATTTTACCAGGTAGTAAATATATACCTATTACTCTAAAGGACTTTGCAGGATTTGGGTTGTTGTAGAAGATGGCATGCAATGCAGATGTTCTGGGTTTTTAGACAGTATGATAAGTATCAAACTCTTGACCATATCCAAGGTATTATCTTGGGGAATAAATTTAAATATTTCCAGATAAACTCTTTTATATGAGTCTATGGAATTTCATGCTATGTAAGTGTTGGGTTTTTTAATAAACAGTCCAATTGTACCAGTAGTCTTGATAGTAGAAGCAGAAAAGCAAACTAAATATACCATTTCTTAACAGGGAGTGAAAGCAAATATTGATGACATGAACTGAAGGTTTTGATGGTTATTTTGCTTCATTGTTTACAATGAACACTAATTTGACCAGATACTTTAGAAGGTAGGACTATAGAGTATTGATGTGAGTTGGAAAAAAGTATTTATTTCTTTGCTAAGAGGGGAAAAAAAAAACCCTTGTGACAAACTACCAACATGGAGTAATTTGAAATGAGTGGTTTTCACAGCAGGAGGACAGTCACTCTTTGAAGCAGTTACTGTGGAAGCCCATCATAAGGTCAATGTTACTGTATTCAGAGAACGCAGTGAGAGATCTGGGTTTTCTCTGTCTGTCATTACTGTCAGAATGAAGTGCTGGAACTTCTACTGCAGACAAGGTTTGAGTCAGCTGATGTTACCAACACCGATCTTTTCTTTAAACTGCATGTCTGCGTCCTTACTCAGCTTTTTACTTTTAAGTATTTGGAAAGAAGAACAACTACTTAATATTTAGCAACTCATGTGTTGAGATGAAAGTGTCAGTGTATACCCCATTACCTCCTCTTCATCTTACTGTTAGAACTGTCTTCAACTATCGTTAGATCACAATTGAAAGTATGAATCTTCACTGTTTCTCCAACTAAGATGTCTCAAGCTAAGAACCATGAAAATAAATGCAGGCACAACTATAATCTGACAGAAATTTTTGGTTGTAGTCTGAGATTGGCATCCTATGATCTCTTTACCTTCTGTAGACTGTTTGCTGTTTGAGTAATGAGCCACCCCTAACTTTCTCAAAAGCATCCAGATATTTTCAGTTTGTTCCTGTGTTCATGGTAGCAGCCCTTCTCCCACCTGCTGTCTTTCATCAGGGCTTTCTCTTCTCACTTGATGGGAACATTTCCAGTCGGATGTAAGAGTGTTGGCCAAGGCCTTTTCAGGATGGATGGCGTTGAGAAGCAGGATGCAGCAACAGTTCACCTGGACTGCAGGATAGCTGTGATTTGCTTCTGAAAGACTCTGTAAAAAAAGGAGGCTGGGAACGTCTAACGTGAACTATGCTGTCTGCTCCTGCCAGAACTCCAAGTGCCATATTTTCCAGGAACAATTTTAAATTGGTCAAGAATTTCAGGACAGGTGCACACCCAGTTTGTTCAATAGATTCAGTCACAGGGCTGTCTTATACCTCTGTTCAGCCTCTGGGGAAACTGCATGACTTGGAGGTTGGAAGGTGGTGTATGACTTACGTAAATAACTGTCACCATGTAGGAACCCTGTGATAGAAACAGATTCTACCTTTGTTTCTAAAGAATAATGTTTTAATACATGACAGCATACTCCTCCTTATAGTAATTCCTTATCATGTTCACTAAACGTCTTCCACCTTCTCTAAACAAGGTTGGTATACCGTGGATAAATCATCAGTGCTCCACAACTGCTTCCTGGAGCACTGTTCACCCTGAGTACTGAATGATTCATTAGTCTGAAGGAAAATGTGTATTTATTTTGCATGCATATATAGATTGTGAGATGTGAAGAGGCATGCATAGCAGGTAGCAGAATCAAAGTTTCCCAGTCTACCTTTATTTTGACATTTCTAAAAATCTTAATGTCTTAGCTTTGGGGTTTTAAAATTAATGTATTTTTGTACGTAATAGCCTGGATTTTTGCAACAGCAGATCCTTCTTGATGGGCAATGTACTGATGAAATCCATAGCTTTCTTATGCAGACTTCTGCTATGCAAACTGACACGTTAACTGTCTGTGGTAGGAAGGTGATACATAGTCTGGATGAGTAGCCACAGGAGAAGAAATACTGTTTTATTCCAGTAGTGTGTTGATGGTAGAAAAATGGATTGACTCAGGCTCCAGCGTGGATTATGACAGAGTGCGCTCTGTCGCAGGAATGGATCTTTTACCCCTGCTGCCTTTAGCTCTTTGTATTCTGACATTATCAGCTATATGAATGTCATCTCATCTGACAACAATATAAAGGCAGGTAGAATTTGAACTACTCTGTTGTGGTTGAAATAATTATGCTCTGAGTACTCCAAATTCATAAAACTATTTAAAAAAATTCAGATTTTCTTTTAAGCTGTCCATGTCTTTCTTATTCCTTTTCTTTTTTGGGGGTGAAACTTTTGACATAAATAGATCTTTGATTTGTTGCAATAAAATAGGAATTTATTTTCCATTGTGTCTGCCAGTTATGTTGGCTTCAATACTACCTGCTGGATTATGGTACATGAGAGAGCATCTATTGATGCAGTGGCAATAATTGTTAATATATTACCCTGAAAAGTGGAAGAGCAGTCAGTAATTGAAGGCTGTTAGTGTATTAACAGCTTAATGTTTAACTGCAGAATTTAATGTGTTTGAATTATGTTCAAGTCTGTAGCCAGCCTTACAGTGTGCAGTAGCTTCTCTGTAACGATTTGCAAAGTTGAAACCTGTGTTATAGTTTCTCTGCCATCTTCTTTTTTGATGTTTAATTAATATAACTTGTGTTAAAATCTGGTGAAATACTTAAAGACCATTATTTTTGCCTCATCAATCACTCCGAGTACCCCAATGATTTGTAATGCTCTTCTGAAATTTTTATTGATATCAGTAGGTAATCACACTACAAGTGTGACTGTGAAGCTTTGTACAGTAAGCCAATACTCAGGTTTGAGGATGTAAGCTGTGAGAACAGTCTGTAGTGTTACAAAATCTTTGGAGTTGTTGCGAATACACTCCGGAATCGTAAGATCTTACTCTGTCAGCTTTGTACTGATGGTGGTGAGAGTATTCTCCTTTCCCTATAAAGAAAAAAATTTGAAGGCGTAGCATAAGTTGGATTGTTATGGACTAGAGAGGCGGATTTACCAGATTATTTTCAAGGTATTCGCTGCACTAAATTTAAAATCCAGTTCAAGTGTGTGTGCATTTTAAAGAAAATAGCTAAGTATATGAAGAAGAGTGAGAATGATTACAAGAGCAATGCAGAGTACACTGTCTCTTCCTTTGAATTCTGAAATTCTAGTAAAAGTTCTTCAGTTATTATTTATTTGGAAACATAATACCGCTTGTAATGGCTGCAGCAGATAAATCTTTTCGTAAGTCTTCTTGGCATATTCCTTCACACTTGAAAGAAAAGCTATCATTCTTTAATTTCCAAGCTAAAGAACTGTTCAAAAAGAAATGTTGGTTTACACTGAAAAAGCACATTTAGGAAAAGACACCCTTTCATTTTTCCTTTACAAGTTTATACTTTAATACAAAGGTTTTGAATTGAATGTGGACCTTTGTATCCACTTTTACATTGTTTTCCTATGCAAATCCATTTGACATAAATGAAAATTTTAAGTGTTGAAACAACTGCAGAATCAAGCTGGTGGCTCAAACTACTGCAAGGTTCATTACTGATAAGTCTTTCATTAAGGTGCTCTTATTTGACAAGAACGTGGCTTTGGCTCAGGAAAATCCTTACATCTGTATCTTTTTACTCTTATACTTCCTTTTTTTGCAGTTGGATTTTTAATCAGCACATTCATTTTGGCTTAAATTCTTTTCTGTTGGTTGCAACATTTTTAATTTTCACCACGGTATTTTATAAATGGAAGTATTCACTGTACATACTGGTTTTGAGAGTCTGTCTCTAGTTTATATTTGTGCCTCTTTACAGATACCATGTATGACACAGTAGTAATGAAGGTAATAGACTTGGCATCTAAAATACCTCATCCAAATTTTATTTCATTCTTTGTAGTTTTGATCAGCTATGGGGACATGTGTTACCATAATGATAATTCATTAAATATCTCCAGCTCAGTAATTTACGATTTGTACTGGACTATGTGACTGTGGTATGATTGCACAGTATGAGTGAACTTTAGAGTATGTTGCCAGTGATGCTGTTGAAAACAAGACATTTAGGTATTTTTTTTTTATTTGCATGTTTTTTGAGGTTTTGGCTAAGATGTGCCCTGATTACCACCACCTTCCTGTATGTAATTTTTAAAAGTATTAATTTCCTGTTCTTATGTACCTGCTTGTTGTGCCCTGGTGAATAGCTAATATCTGGCCCAATTTAGCTATGATGCTGTGACCAGCAGCCTTCCAATAATTTCTTACTATTCAAGTGTAAAGGAAATATGCAAAGCAGACCTAACTTCTTCTTGTAGAAGTTCTAAAAAAATCTTTAAATCTTTTTCTGAAGAGCTTTTTTGTGATGACCGTTGTGTTTAGTGCATATCTTTCAGAACTGAAATAAATAACAGACATTGTCTAGACACATTGCCAGGGGCCAAACAGTTGTGTGTAAGACTGTCAATGGAAAAGGTTTATCCTCAAGTTCAAATTGAAAGATAAGAACATATTTGTGTTTTTCCTTATTGTGATTTCATCATTTGGAAGTCTGTTAAAAGACTTCAGTGCAACTTTTGTTTATGACGTAGACCAAATTCCAAGTACTGTGAAAAGACTGCAATACTTGTGTATGTTTGAGTAATCAACTATAGTAGAGAACAAACAACAAAAGTTAAGTATAATAT